CGGATTCAACCCCCGAATCCGTCAACATTCATGCGTAAGACCGCTGTTCGTGACTGACTAACATTACTTTGCCGAAGCACTGCCGCAGCATGAAACGTATAACTGGACTACGATTCAAAATTTTAATAACTCGATCTACTCGCCGCTAGATAGCTGGAGTAGAATTTTTTTAATTAAGTAGGCAATTTTTACTTCAGTCGCGCGACTGACTTGACGACCCCTAGATCCGCCCCTGGTTTGCAGCGCCTTATCTCTGGTTTTATGCACCCAACAAGGACAAAAATACAACCGTTCAAATCAGCGTAATAAGTTGTCTCTATGGATGTAAAAAATAAATTTCTAAATAGCAGTATTCTAGCGATTTTTGGCTTTTGAAAGACAATCGAAATTGTATTGTTGACAAACTACTCAAAATTATCCTTACACGTTTTCCGAATTTCTTTTTTCCGGGTAAATTTCCTTTCCAATTAATCTCGGACCTTCACGACCGACTTTTTACTGCGCCTTATATCTGGTTTTATGCGCCCAATAAAGACAAAAATACCACCAAATCAGCGTAAGAAATTATACTTATGCCTTGGATGCCAAATGCATTACTAAACAGCAGTATTCTAGAAAGACAAGCGAAATTGTATTGTTGGCAAATCGCTCAAAATTATTAACTAATTATATAACTTGACCCAAAATTATTTTAAAAATGCAGTACGTTTGATCCTTGATAACATTTCATGTCGTTTGTTTTCTCTTTTTCGGCCTCATGCCCTCATACAAATGGATAGTTCGTCTGACTTTTCTACGGTGGCCCATATGTGCAAAACACCCCCCAAAAAATAATTGCACCCCAGAGATCACAAAACACCTCAATATGCAAACCAAATTGCAACGGTTAATCTAAAACACCCCCCAAAAGATTCGAAACACCCTCAAAAGATTCGAAACACTCCAAAATATTCGAAACACCCCAAAATATTCGAAACACCCCAAAAGATTCGAAACACTCCAAAAGATTCGAAACACCCAAAAATATTCGAAACACCTAAAAATATTTGTAATACAAGTCTTGCTGAACAAAAAATTGGTAATATTATTACTATAATAAAGTTTGCAAATGAAGTGCAATAATTGCAATACAGAAATATTGAGTACATTCTTCTATTGTCCATCTTGTGGCAAGTGCACTCGTATCGACACGCCAATACAAGTTAAAAATACTGATTCTAACGCGGGATGTCTTCGAGTTCGAGTTCAAACACCTCAACCAATTCTGGAGTGGGACAAAAAAGATTTCGATCTTTTGCCGAATTTCAAGCTGAGAAAGGACGTGAACGAATTAGCTAAATTATCAAGGTCTCACCCTGGGTTTCACCAAGGATTTTAGCTTCGCCTAGTAATGGCTTATATACCTTGACTAGTTGGCTCTTCCGAATATAAAACCTTTTTCAATAGCATGCATGTAAAAGCATTTGGACATTTCTTTGTGGTGTGTGACTACCTACCAGAGCATTGTGGTAGCAGCAGTGACGTACCATAAGGAATGTCATTGTGCATACGATCTATTGTTTATTGACGTGCAGTATCCATTAAACGGTGAAAGTATTGTTTTGCCTCATCTGCAGTCCATTGGGATCTATCTGGCAGGCTCAATTGCTGACAAATTTCTTCAAAATATATATCATAGTCGTCTTGTGATTGGTGGTCAACGTGTGCTTGCATGGTATTAATATCCTCATTGTCAGTAAGAAACTTGCAATTGCGTGCTCCGATAGATTCTGGTAAAAAGTACATTTGGTCTGGTACACCAGCTTGCGTGTTGTAACGGGATCTTCTTATGTAATGGGTATTCCAGCTTGTACGTACCTGATCTAGACCTTGTTGTAATAGTTTGTTGAAGCAGAACCACAAACAATTTTTCTGTAAATCATCACTTGTATCCAACTCCCCTCTTTCTACCATTTGTGAAAAAAAAATCATCCACCATGTTGTCCAAGATTTACGTAAATGGCTCTACCATGCTTCTATTCTCTGATTAGAAGTGGATGGCCCATATGCATGGGCTTTTAAACTTGCATGATCATCACTATGAGATCTACGTAAGAAGCACTGCATTGTCGCCATTAACGTGTTTTCAATGCCTCTGTCGGTTCGTACCATTGTTGGATAACCCTGGTTCTGTTGGATGCAACGGAGGAAGTATTTAGAAATTATTTTTGGATCATTGTTGCTCTTGCAAACTACTATCTCAAACTCATTAATAATTCATGAGTAAATTAGCCAACCATCTTGCTTTATTTCGCTCACATGATAATATACTGGATACCTGATGAAGTACATTGATCCAGTCCTAGGACTGGATCAAAATTAATTCAGTCCTTGGACTGGATCCAAACTAATTAAGTAGTGATTTATTCGCATGAGATGTCATTTCAAATCCTCCAATTCGGACTGGACTAGATTTCAAGTCCTCGCATTTTGATCCAGTCCTCTGCTTCGCCTCGGACTTGATCAAATTGCGTGGACTTGAAATCTAGTCCAGTCCTTGATAGAATCGAGACAACTGCATGTTGCCGGCATGTACTGATGTACAGTTATGGTTATTGGTTTATAAATTGTTTTAGAGAAATAAAAAATGAAACGAAAGTATAAATCAGGATCTGCAAAAAGGGCGGAAAAGAGAAGAAGTATTCAAAGAGCTACCCAAAATACAGCTCCTATAGCCTCATTCTTTGAAAAAGCTGAAAATGTTGAAAGTGATGCTGAAGATACTCCATCAACAGCTTCCTTGGCTGACGAAGCTCAGTTAAGTACATCAAATGAAGGTGTAGACAGTGAGAGCATGAAGAAAAATGCTGAAACTTCTAATGATCAATTAGGACTTTTCAATCTGGCCAATGAATACCCTACTGACAGAGGGCACTTCCCATCCTCAATTGAAGAAGGGGATTTAAAGAGACTTATTCTTAGTCATGGCCCATGTAAACCTGATGGACCATTTAGAAGACGAACAAGGTAACATAACAACAAACTTCAGCGGTTAGATGGAAAACACGGAGTCGGAGTCCCGGAGTCTGACGTCATAAAAATATGGAAAACACGGAGTCATATGGAAAACACGGAGTCTGACGTCAGAGAAAAATATGGAAAACACGGAGTCATATGGAAAACACGGAGTCTGACGTCAGAGAAAAATATGGAAAACACGGAGTCATATGGAAAACACGGAGTCCACCATAAAATATGGAAAACACGGAGTCTGACGTCAGAGAAAAATATGGAAAACACGGAGTCTGACGTATTGTCAGCGTGAAATATGGAAAATAGTAATGAAATAATATATAATTTATGCGAATATAAACAAACGGACGAATTAATATATAAACGTATTAGAAATTTTCTGCACTAAGTATAGGTTATTTCTCTAAAATGTCGTGAAAATATGGATTATTTATTTTTAAATACAATCAAGCAAATAGTATTGTTTCTCTTGTCGTGTGACTTGTTCAGTTGTACAATATTGCCAATATTTGAAGTGATTTTAATGCGGATTTTGTTCACCTCGTATAAAGGTATGTTGATAAAAAATATAGTTTATATACTTAATACTGCTAGAATATTTCATAGTCGACTCGACTTACATGTAATATTTATATCACACAAAATCTTGACACAAAACAGATAGATATGCTGCTTGGAAACAGCGTGCAATATTGTTATTTACTAATAAATAGATGCATCCAGCCAACACACAAACCGTGCAGTATATTAATGGCATTATAAAAAAGTTTTCAGGTGTCCAAAAAAATACCTGCACTATAGTGGTAAGTCTATACCAAGTTAATATCTCTAACATAGAAGTTTTAGGTTTTTATATATCAAGCCATTGATATTTGAGTGATCAAGATAGGTATTTATAACTGACCATTTGTTCCAGGCTTAATTGCATGATACCATTGTAAAATTGTCTGGCGTTTATAGGCAGAGTAAAATATAAAGTAGGGTACATCTGGGCACATATATTGCCACTTATAATTAAAGGGTTAATATAGAAATTTTGTATTTCATAAAGTATTACAATGCTTTTGAAAGGGATAATTTTAAGTGAAACCCACCTGTTGTGGACTTAAAAGTAAAATTGTGAACTGATGATGCAGAACCACTGGTAGCTAGGGATTGTGGGGCACTAAATTTACTGTTTTCGTAGATTTTTGTCCAAGCAATTAAGTTATAAAGAACAGAATAATAGTGTTGCCACATTCATGTAGTTATAGGCAAATGGTTGATTTGTCAAATATCAATTATGGATTGTTTCATTATAAATACTGGAATGCTCATACTGGATGGTTGTACAATAAGCAAAATTTGCCTTAGGGCCTGTTTATATGGAAACTGGGCTGGCCCGCTTAGCAAGACAGCCCGGTAAGCAGGATGAATTTCTCTCGTGTTTATATGAGAAAATTTCACCCGCTTGCCGGGACAATTTTGTTACATTGTATTGTTTTGACAGTTGTTAAAAATAGCTTGCGGCGGGAACTTTGAACATTCATCCCGGCAACCAGCCTATAGCCTGCTTAATTGTGAGTGTTTATATGGAGAAATTTCCTTCCCGGTAAGCGAGATCTCGCCTCTTTCAAGCGAGTCCATATAAACGCACAATAATTTTTACTATAAAAATAACTGCACAGCGAGATCTCACTTACCGGGCTGTCTTGCTTAGCGGGCCAGCCCGGCTTCCATATAAACAGGCCCATAGTAAATTTAGTAAGCCAGTATATCTAGGCTGGCTTGCATTACATATAAAACATCCCCTATAATCCTACAATAGTTGGAAAAAATTAAGAAGTAAAACAAATCTAGAATGAAATATATTTCCCTTCAATATATGCAATTTGTAGTTAGTTGTATATATAGGCACAAAAATGGCTGAAATAGTTTAAAATTCAATACAATGTCATTGTGTTGACATGAAAATATTCTGTTTTTGTAGCCATGCATAGGTGTTAATTTAAACCATGAGATGCTCAATCGTATGAACTATGAATGCAGATTTGCAGTGGTGTAGTGGCATAGACTTGTATGTCACTATGAATCTATGTAAGATATATTGAGCATTAATTGCATGGTTTAAATTAACACCTTAATGGCTACAAAAACAGTTGGTAGAATATTTTCATGTCAACCCAATTTATTGAATTTTAAACTATTTCAGCCATTTTTGTGCCTATATATATACAACTATAACTACAAATTGCATATATTGAAGGGAAATTTACTTCTTAATTTTTTCCAACTATAGTATAGGATTATAGGGGATGTTTATATGTAATGTAAGCCAGCCTAGATACTGGCTTACTTTACTAAGGCAAATTTTGCTTATTGTACAACCATCCAGTGTGAGCATTCCAGTGTTTATAATGAAACAATCCGTAAATTTCTTAATTTTATAGTGTGCCACAATCCCTAGCAGTATTCCTAGCAATATCCCTATCCCAGTCGTTCTGCATCGATCATCAGTTCACAATTTTATTTTAAGTCCACAACAGGTGGGTTTCACTTAAAATTATCCCTTTCAAAAGCATTGTATGATTGTAATACTTTATGAAATACAAAATTTCTATATTTATTTTATGTGGCCTAATGCACCTATCAATGTTAACCCCCAGAGGGGGGTAGGTGGGGCATATGTGGGGTATTTGATCATCAATTGCATCCCACCCTGGGGATTTTGATTAGCATTTTGGCCCTGAGTTTGGGCAATTTGAACCAAATGACTGTTATTAATATAGTATTTATTGCAATTTATTGCAAAATGGTGGGGCATTTGACCAATATTTATTGCCCGACGGTGGGGCATTTGATTGAAAATTTGCTCAAAAAATCAAATGCCCCACCTATGCCCGACCCCCCCCCCCCTCTCGGGGGCTTAACATTGATAGGTGCATAAATAACAACGCTGTTTCCAAGCAGCATATCTGTTTTGTGTCAAGATTTTGTGTGTTATAAATATTACATGTAAATCGACTATGAAATATTCTAGCAGTATTAAGTATATAAACTATATTTTTATCAACATACCATGCAAAGTGAACAAAATCCGCATTAAAATCACTTCAAATATTGTACAACTGAACAAGTCACACGACAAGCTAGAGAAACAATATTATTTGCTTGATTGTATTTAAAAATAAATAATCCATATTTTCACGTCATTTTAGAGAAATACCAGAATTAGTGCAGAAAATTTCCAATTCGTTATATTATAAATTCGTCCGTTTGTTTATATTCGCATAAATTATATATTATTT